TTATATTAAGCAACATCCACTTCTTTTACGTCACTTACAGAAAGTGACTACTTTTCACTGCAAGTATGGAAGACGGGCAAGAGAAAAAATAAATAAATAAAACGCTCTAGAAACAGGATACTGCATTCTTTCATGTCGTGTTTCAACAATTCCAAGCTTGGTAAGTTCAGTAGCGTGAACAGATAATGCAACTTCTTTCTTTGCAGAACAGAGCTACATCATATCTGCATACCACGAAAGAAGACTCGGCCACCGGGGTCATTGATTGCTGCTTTAAATACTTCAGGACTCTTACCGTGAGAAAGGAACAGAGAATGAGGATGTTCAGGTCCTGAATACAAAACTGCAAGGGTCAATACATGTGATTATAGCACCCAGGCGTTTCAGTTCCACATTAATACTGCTTAGTGAAGAATAGAAGAAAGTACAGAAAGAAGATGATAAAGCTGAAAAAGAACGAATATCTTAAAAATATTTTGAAAACTGTGTCACCTTCATATCTTCATATTTCGTGATCATTATTGTCCCCTTCGTCTAAACTGTCGAAGAAAATAAAAGGTCCTTGTTTCTAACGAACTTAAGATTGCCAGTATTTCATGTGAATAAAAGACTTAACTGAGAATGAAATTAACAGGAGGATAATAAAGTTAGAAAATAACGGACTCATAAATTTCTATCTTCACTAAACAAGCTTATTAGAGTAACTAAATTAAGGACGATGACATTGGCGGAACATTTGCACGCGTGGAGATAACAAGAAATATTTTAGTCGAAAAACCTGAAGGAGAGATAAAACTTTGGAGATCTGGACATAAGACGAGAGTAGGTGAAGTTAACATTTATCTTAAAGAAGAAGGGTTTGTGTTTATGGACAGGATTAAACTGGCTTTTTAACGACCAGTGGTGGACTACTACCAACACTGTAAAGAACGTTTAGATTGTATAAAAGAGAATAGTTCGCGTGAGACACTCAGGGAATACAAGTTAGGGCTGAGTACAACTTAACTCCTCCTTAGCAACAAATGCTTTCAATTCTTGTCTCCGGTAGAGAAGTATCAATAAGGAGAATGTGAGTGTCGTTTTTTACATATGCTAATCAAGTAGGCAACGCATTTCAACATAGGCACCGCCATCAGATCCTGTTTTCTCAGCATTAATATTAATGAAAACATATTTTTACATTACACTGATTCGCGTGCGATATTTATTAGATATCCTTACTTATGCTTGCGGCAAACGAACGAGAAAATACAGGGCTCTGTTACAAGAAGAAACATTTTATTAAATCGCTTCTCATCTTTAGAAATGGGTATTAATAGCTCACATGAAACAAGCGATACTATTTCCCTGGCACGTATCAAGCAAACAAGTAATCGGCAAGGCCTACGCTATGCAGTTTGTAGCGAAAGCAAGGTCAGGAAAGAATATAAGTAGGGGTGAACAAAGCAGATTATAACCAGACGTTACACAAGACTCTGGTTTTAAATCTTAGGTTTTTGAGTAAATCCGTCGGTACACAGTGGCTGGGTGGGACACAACGAGATTTCAACATTTTCGTGAAAGAAAAATTTCTCACATCTTTCGGTGAAGAAACGTCCAAGGAAGCTTTCAACTGGTGAGGAATAGATGAAAGGAAGATATGAAGATTTACCTGATGGATGTAGGTTGTGATCATGGGAGACGAGTGGAACTAGTTTTGTAACATGTCCAACGGTGGACTTTGGTATTGGTGGCGTTGAACCTTCGGGTGTATTAACAGGTAACTGTTAACAATTTAATAAACCGGTAATTTTTTACACAAAGTACAATGTAAGTAATGTTTCCTTCCAATTTATTTACAATCTTCTTGTTATTTCCCACTAAGTGATATACGGGTTACATCGAGCATGTTGGTTTGTGTTTGTAACGAAGCAGATTTGTGCTTAGGGAGTGACCGGTTACAATCTTGTTAGGTTTACCGACGAACCTGAAATGTTTTGTAGTTGTTTTATTAGTCAATGCGATTAATAGATGTTACCTAGACAATGTCCATGACCACTTCCTTTCACATCCTTACCTACACGTCGTCCATGAGTATTTGATTGTCTTCTAAACCAGATGAAAAGCCACAAGTAATGTAAGAATCGGTTATAATAAATCTGAACGCACCTGAGAACGCTTCGTTAAGCAAACAATAAATACGCTCTATTTTAAACGCGGTAAAAAATGAGCTATTGAAACGGTTATATTGACACATTCTTAAGTACTTAGAATTCCTGATTCGTATTCGGTGGGTCCTGATTGGATTATAGCGTCGGTCACTACTCTTTGTAAATTTCTCACGATTCGTTTTTCAGACAATGCAAACAATTTCTGGAATAGTACCTTAAAATCATTCAAGGCTGCCATATTCCTTATTTTTTTCGTTACTCATATCTCAGTCAACATTTCATATAACCTATACACTTAAAAGGCGTCTTTAAATAACTCTATAATAATAAACATAAGCTCTATCCACGATTAAAGAATGTTCGAACAACTCCAAACAACGAAACTTTTGCTGAATCATGTTTTGTAACTATAGTTTGTTCATCCCTGGATAAGGGTGTGCCCAGAAATTAATACTCCAGTGGTCGTATTATCAAAGCACTTACAGTTGCATATAAGTCTGTTATTGTTGTTATGACAGCAATCATTTTAGTTTGTAAAAAATAAATTACTCAGACACAATAATGAGGTGATCAACACACCTTGCGTGTGTTATTACCGTAATGCGTGGAGATGACATGTTGAAGAGACCCTGGGTAGCCGTCTATACTTCCAGAGTGGGTCAAATGGACTTGACAGGCTCCCACAAACCTGTCAGTGCATATGACTGTAACGACTTGTCACAGGAATTTCGGGGTCAAACCAAATTTATCCCTGACACCGCCTTACCTGAAGAGATCTGCCATAATTCCTTTCATTCCTGCCTGGTGGGCGAATGCAGAAATCAGATTCAGATAAATCGAAATACCACCGCCCCTACAACGGACTCCAGTACAGGATCACAAAGTGAACTAGTCGCAACATAACCTAGCCAATCTGTAAAACATATTACAATATGATCTAATTCGTTTCCTCTTTTCTCCGTTCCTTCTTTCCCCATCCCTTCTTCCTTCTTTTTTGATCTTCCACGCCCCTTCATTCTTGTCCTACGTTCTTTATTTATGCCTGTATAATTGTGTTCTTATTCTGGTTCTTATTTTAAAGGAAGTCTAAAAGAAAGGAAGAAAGTGTTTCTGCAACCAAGCTACATATCCAGCCAATTATAAATGCCTTCATTAAACTACGTTCATAATTCTATGAATATGAAGAAATTGTCAAGTTATGAGGTCAGTATTATTAATCGCATATTTAATTGCAAATATTTACTTCAACACTTGTTTATAAAATTTTAACATACCTATATGCTCCCTCTCAGTGTAAAATAAAATTATGAAGACTATATTTGACGTAACAAAGATTAATAAACGAATGTATTGCATAATAAAAACCTTCATGAACTGTGATTTTATTTTGACATTGTTAGGGCGTAACGATATTAACAAGAAATGCATACGAATTTATACATTTCTTTTCATAAGAACCTAATTTAAGGAGCCACTTGCCAAAAAAAGCTATTCGGATAGAAGAATATTGATTGCTGCTTTAAATACTTCAGGACTCTTACCGTGAGAAAGGAACAGAGAATGAGGATGTTCAGGTCCTGAATACAAAACTGCAAGGGTCAATACATGTGATTATAGCACCCAGGCGTTTCAGTTCCACATTAATACTGCTTAGTGAAGAATAGAAGAAAGTACAGAAAGAAGATGATAAAGCTGAAAAAGAACGAATATCTTAAAAATATTTTGAAAACTGTGTCACCTTCATATCTTCATATTTCGTGATCATTATTGTCCCCTTCGTCTAAACTGTCGAAGAAAATAAAAGGTCCTTGTTTCTAACGAACTTAAGATTGCCAGTATTTCATGTGAATAAAAGACTTAACTGAGAATGAAGTTAACAGGAGGATAATAAAGTTAGAAAATAACGGACTCATAAATTTCTATCTTCACTAAACAAGCTTATTAGAGTAACTAAATTAAGGACGATGACATTGGCGGAACATTTGCACGCGTGGAGATAACAAGAAATATTTTAGTCGAAAAACCTGAAGGAGAGATAAAACTTTGGAGATCTGGACATAAGACGAGAGTAGGTGAAGTTAACATTTATCTTAAAGAAGAAGGGTTTGTGTTTATGGACAGGATTAAACTGGCTTTTTAACGACCAGTGGTGGACTACTACCAACACTGTAAAGAACGTTTAGATTGTATAAAAGAGAATAGTTCGCGTGAGACACTCAGGGAATACAAGTTAGGGCTGAGTACAACTTAACTCCTCCTTAGCAACAAATGCTTTCAATTCTTGTCTCCGGTAGAGAAGTATCAATAAGGAGAATGTGAGTGTCGTTTTTTACATATGCTAATCAAGTAGGCAACGCATTTCAACATAGGCACCGCCATCAGATCCTGTTTTCTCAGCATTAATATTAATGAAAACATATTTTTACATTACACTGATTCGCGTGCGATATTTATTAGATATCCTTACTTATGCTTGCGGCAAACGAACGAGAAAATACAGGGCTCTGTTACAAGAAGAAACATTTTATTAAATCGCTTCTCATCTTTAGAAATGGGTATTAATAGCTCACATGAAACAAGCGATACTATTTCCCTGGCACGTATCAAGCAAACAAGTAATCGGCAAGGCCTACGCTATGCAGTTTGTAGCGAAAGCAAGGTCAGGAAAGAATATAAGTAGGGGTGAACAAAGCAGATTATAACCAGACGTTACACAAGACTCTGGTTTTAAATCTTAGGTTTTTGAGTAAATCCGTCGGTACACAGTGGCTGGGTGGGACACAACGAGATTTCAACATTTTCGTGAAAGAAAAATTTCTCACATCTTTCGGTGAAGAAACGTCCAAGGAAGCTTTCAACTGGTGAGGAATAGATGAAAGGAAGATATGAAGATTTACCTGATGGATGTAGGTTGTGATCATGGGAGACGAGTGGAACTAGTTTTGTAACATGTCCAACGGTGGACTTTGGTATTGGTGGCGTTGAACCTTCGGGTGTATTAACAGGTAACTGTTAACAATTTAATAAACCGGTAATTTTTTACACAAAGTACAATGTAAGTAATGTTTCCTTCCAATTTATTTACAATCTTCTTGTTATTTCCCACTAAGTGATATACGGGTTACATCGAGCATGTTGGTTTGTGTTTGTAACGAAGCAGATTTGTGCTTAGGGAGTGACCGGTTACAATCTTGTTAGGTTTACCGACGAACCTGAAATGTTTTGTAGTTGTTTTATTAGTCAATGCGATTAATAGATGTTACCTAGACAATGTCCATGACCACTTCCTTTCACATCCTTACCTACACGTCGTCCATGAGTATTTGATTGTCTTCTAAACCAGATGAAAAGCCACAAGTAATGTAAGAATCGGTTATAATAAATCTGAACGCACCTGAGAACGCTTCGTTAAGCAAACAATAAATACGCTCTATTTTAAACGCGGTAAAAAATGAGCTATTGAAACGGTTATATTGACACATTCTTAAGTACTTAGAATTCCTGATTCGTATTCGGTGGGTCCTGATTGGATTATAGCGTCGGTCACTACTCCTTGTAAATTTCTCACGATTCGTTTTTCAGACAATGCAAACAATTTCTGGAATAGTACCTTAAAATCATTCAAGGCTGCCATATTCCTTATTTTTTTCGTTACTCATATCTCAGTCAACATTTCATATAACCTATACACTTAAAAGGCGTCTTTAAATAACTCTATAATAATAAACATAAGCTCTATCCACGATTAAAGAATGTTCGAACAACTCCAAACAACGAAACTTTTGCTGAATCATGTTTTGTAACTATAGTTTGTTCATCCCTGGATAAGGGTGTGCCCAGAAATTAATACTCCAGTGGTCGTATTATCAAAGCACTTACAGTTGCATATAAGTCTGTTATTGTTGTTATGACAGCAATCATTTTAGTTTGTAAAAAATAAATTACTCAGACACAATAATGAGGTGATCAACACACCTTGCGTGTGTTATTACCGTAATGCGTGGAGATGACATGTTGAAGAGACCCTGGGTAGCCGTCTATACTTCCAGAGTGGGTCAAATGGACTTGACAGGCTCCCACAAACCTGTCAGTGCATATGACTGTAACGACTTGTCACAGGAATTTCGGGGTCAAACCAAATTTATCCCTGACACCGCCTTACCTGAAGAGATCTGCCATAATTCCTTTCATTCCTGCCTGGTGGGCGAATGCAGAAATCAGATTCAGATAAATCGAACTACCACCGCCCCTACAACGGACTCCAGTACAGGATCACAAAGTGAACTAGTCGCAACATAACCTAGCCAATCTGTAAAACATATTACAATATGATCTAATTCGTTTCCTCTTTTCTCCGTTCCTTCTTTCCCCATCCCTTCTTCCTTCTTTTTTGATCTTCCACGCCCCTTCATTCTTGTCCTACGTTCTTTATTTATGCCTGTATAATTGTGTTCTTATTCTGGTTCTTATTTTAAAGGAAGTCTAAAAGAAAGGAAGAAAGTGTTTCTGCAACCAAGCTACATATCCAGCCAATTATAAATGCCTTCATTAAACTACGTTCATAATTCTATGAATATGAAGAAATTGTCAAGTTATGAGGTCAGTATTATTAATCGCATATTTAATTGCAAATATTTACTTCAACACTTGTTTATAAAATTTTAACATACCTATATGTTCCCTCTCAGTGTAAAATAAAATTATGAAGACTATATTTGACGTAACAAAGATTAATAAACGAATGTATTGCATAATAAAAACCTTCATGAACTGTGATTTTATTTTGACATTGTTAGGGCGTAACGATATTAACAAGAAATGCATACGAATTTATACATTTCTTTTCATAAGAACCTAATTTAAGGAGCCACTTGCCAAAAAAAGCTATTCGGATAGAAGAATTATATTAATGTGCATTTCTGATTGAGCTCTCGTGTGTCTTTCCCAATTCCCTCCAGGCGAATATCGACATATTCTCCATGGAATATTCCATGACACGTTTCTGCCCACTCCTATCTAATCATTCGATTAACACCCTGTTCGGATGTTAAGTAACACCTCGAATTTATACAATATGAGAGTATCCTGTGATCTTACCGGTGTATGAACCAGGTACTACTCCAGCTGAAGGTAGATGAGTCTGTCATACTGTCAAGTTCAATAAACATAACATTATCTCGATTGTATACGTATAGGTTCAAAATTCTTGAAAGGACATAAACCACTTTAGCTTCAAAGCGTTGACTATGGTAAGCCACTCTTTTTTGTTTAATTATTATGATCAGCAATAAACAGGGTGTTTAATTATAACTCTAGCGGCTGAATATGAATAATACCTGTTATAAAAGTGGAACACAAAGAACGTACCGAAAATTTGAATATGATAATAGTCTATCATTCTTTGCTTTCTACGGTAGCCACAGCGCAAACACTGCCATTGCAGGTTGCCAAGTAATATGATTACGGGGCAGATTCAAACAAGGTAACCTCCTCCTCAGATAGAGCAATGCTCTCCCAGTGAAACAAAGAACGTATTAATTACAGATATCAAGATCCTGAACTGTGGACAGGTGACTGACCGCCCTCCTCAAGGAATAATAAATATATGCTTGAGCCATCGGAATTTCAGATGCAATTTAAACATGTTTTCGATATGGGCTAGATTCGCGGGTTCCTCAGTCCGATTTAGATAGATTTGTACCCGGAAGGGATCTCTTTCGTATCTTTGCCGAATTATGGTTATTCAACCTGCGGTTTCTTTCTTTCCTTGTCTCAGATGTATCCGTTCTTTCATGTAGGCGTGACACTTGGTTTATTACCCTAATGGAAGAGTATAACGCAATTTGCAGTCGAGTGGTTAGCATTCCAACTTCTCAATAACCCACGTTCAAATCTATGCCAAAAGATTGCATACTTTGACAGAGTTTTTGTGGGTGTCCTCAGTCCCTCTGGCAAATGTTCTGACTACCTTAAATTATACTCCGATAGTTTCCTTCCATATCCTTTCCAATTCATTATTCACTAATTTCAGCTTATACCTCACAGTCTTATTTATACTCTGCGTAACTTCAGTTTTCTGAGCGAGTATTTGCTGTGAGATTCTAACGGTGTTTCGTGTGGTAATAAATTTCACTCTGATGATGGGGGCAGTAAGCACCTCTGAAATGTAGGTAAACTTCTACCAGACTACATGGCGTGACAACCTGAAATCTTAACTTGACTTTCCTTTGGATAAGAAAATGTATAGTTAAGTCAGCTTTCCTGGATTTATTGAACTAACCGACTGACAGTATACTACAGTTTTCTTGTGCAGCTGGTACTTACTCAGGTGGTCAGAATAGCATATTTTATAGAATTTAAACTTTCAGTACACCGTTATTAGACTCTAATTCATTTCACTTGATGTTGCTTCTAAATACAATTTAATAACGAGAAATCGGATTCCATGAAATACAGTAGATTTCTTTGTCGGCTAAGTTACTGTCAGTTTCTCAAGATCGCTTCTGTTTAATTCAGTTATTCGGTAATATAACTGGTAATTCAGAAGAGTAAAAATATTTATATGCATGAATGTATATCCAGTATTTCTGCATTCGTGAGGAACGTACAGAGAGGGCAATGAGCAACTGAAAACAGTGGTTCTGGGTGCCTATCCAAACTGCGTGTGCTGTGGTGTTGTGCTCCAGTTACCTGCCTGGAGGCAGTCAGTTCGCTGTGGGAGGAATGAGAGGCGCTGTGGTGTTAATTGTTCGGAATGTCGACTGTCAGGCTGCTACAGCAATCTATTGTGGTGACAGTGCGGGCAACAAGGAAACATGAGCTTCAAACCGATGTTCGTGAATATGATTACGGTTTTATATCAATAATGAAAATTTGCATCTTTAACTATTGCATAAAAATGATTAAGAAAAAGACGGCCTGTCACAAAACGGCCCACAACAAATAATTATTCCCGTTATGTACTAGAAGTTTCTTCGAGTATTTTTTTATAAATATTCATCTACAAAAGAATAGTTTTAATAAATATTCGAGTAGATCATGCAAAACCTTCTGTGTCAACACCCCACAATAGCTCATAATGATTTGTATAGCCTATAGGTCCTATTGTCTTTATTAAAATAAAGGCCCATTTAAATAAGAAAGAAAAGAAAGCATACATGAGAAGAAAGTGTATAAAGGAGGAAATAAAAATAGAGGAAAGAAAGATATAATAAAGGAATACGAAGAAATAAAGAAAAATGTTAGGATACAAAAGAAGGAAATAAGCAATAAATAAATAGAAATATAAAACAGTAACAAATAAAAATAAATGAAACAAGGAGAAAGAAAGTAAAGAAAAGGAGAACGAAAAAGACGTAAAAAAAGGAATGAAAGAAAGAAACCAGAACGAAATTTTTCCAGGTGTGGTCATCAAATTTTTCTAGTGCCTTCAAACACAAGAGGCAGGTTCGTCCGTCTTTAGAATTGAAGTCGAGAGAGAATTTCCCATTACCGTTAATGAACAGCAGCCAGAAGTAAAACACTATTTCAGAAACGTTAGCGTGTTACTAACATTTATACAAATGATAAGATTTCACCGAATGCACGTTGTCCCACCCATGCGCTTCGCTTTGCTGTTTACAAGAAAGTTTCCAAAGCTTGTATGCAAATGTTAGTGGCAAAACTATGTAGTCACACCAATCACAGTTTATCACAACCATTAAGAATGTGCGCTATGCTTGTTGGAATTTCCACAACCAATGATTTATACTTCTGCACTTACTGTGAATGCCGTATTTTGCTTGGTTACCAGCGCCATTCTTTATGTTAACTAAACCCCACGTGTGTGTTTAATTTTGGACTGAAGCCCACAGGGGACAAATCATGACGCCTTCATTTGCAAAATGCCAAGCACGTGGTCGATTTCTTGATTGGTAGGAAGAGGCAGATATTCGCTAGCCACTTTGGTTTGCTGCCACGTATTTTTACCGTTCTTCTATCAATTCAATAAATGTTGTTATATAATATTACTACACAATATTACTCAATTTCATATGCTTCTTTGTTCTGTTTTTCAATAAAAACGTCTTTAAGTAGGATTTTTCCCGCCATTCTTGACTGCCGAATTATTAGTCCGTTATATATTTGGGTTAACAGACCATTTATTTTTGCAGGACCCTTATGAATTGAATAATCACAGAGACTATGGTGCACGTACACAGACCTACAAACTTGCGAGTTCTTCACTCTGTTTTACGACAACCTCTCTTGGCTTCAACTGTGCCGCCATGACAGGCCGTATTATTGTAATTACGCTGTGGCAGACGACGGCACGACCCACTAAAGTGTCGAAGTCAGTGCGCTTGGCGGCAGGTGCGAGAAAAATGTGTAGTCTCATAACAACTCCGCTTTGATTTCAGTGTTAATCTCTTAAACCTCTTAATAATCTCAGGCAGCAACACAATAATTGATACAAATCTGCGGCACAGTGATTATAAACATTTTACAGAAATGCCTTAGAACCTCTTCGTTTGGTACTATCTTTTCCAATATTACGTAAATATTATTAAATCTGATTTGAAATATTTCATCCCTACTTCCCTTTCTCCTTAATTCCTTGCTTTCTTCTCTCCTGTCATCATTCTCTCCCTTCTCATTCTTGCCTATGTCTTTATTGTAACTTTTGCTTTTTTACCATTCTTATCTTCGTCTCTGGCTTCCTTGGCTCTCTTTCAATGCTTAAATTTCTTATCATTCCTGCGTTTCTTATCAATCTTATTTCTCTTAATGCTTGTTCTCGTAACATACTCATCTTTCTTACTATTTTTATAATGATAATCTTTCTTCTCATTCTCGTCTATGTCCTTTTCATTGTAGTTATAATTGTCTTGCTGTCATTCTTGTCCTTCAATTTAATATTTAAAAAAAGAATATCAAATAATAAGCCACTGATCATGCTACAGAAAGAGGAGACAAAGTAGCTCATGCCTCATCACAGGAGCACTTACACAAAGCCGTGCAGCAATTAAGCATCGCCAGGTTATGTAGCTCTCAGTGTAACAATAACAACAAACAAGACGACGACAGTCCATTGTTACTGCACGAAGCGCCTCGTCATGACGTGACACAGACTCAGAGGAAAAGTGATCTATATGCGATGTCTGTCAAGCGATATGAATTTTGCTTTGGCAAGTAGAAAGAAAACAATACTTTCTTAGTAAATTCTCAACCATACTTCAAAGTTAGAGGTTATACAGCGTCTATAAATTATCTTGAATTATAACTTATAGAAAGACATGGCCATATCCGACACATTCCCTGTGACGGCCTCAGAAAACCATAAACGCAGTTGGGGAAGAAACGTTTTCAGAACGATGCTCTAGCCACTATAATGAGTTACATGGATCGAATTCCAACAACGTATCATAATCAATATGAGAAAATTATTTAATAATCATTCAATTCATTTATTAAAGTTATAATAATAATACGTGGTTCATGTTTTCACTAAGCTAGTCAAGAAATGTCCCACCTACTTTTAACTTAAGTATAATTAAAGCGTCCACAAGATCCCGCCACAGGCCCCTGTCTTGATCCAAATTAAAGCAGCGCACATTCTCGCATCTCATTTCTTTATTATCAACTGGAATATTTATATTTATTCATTCCCGTGTTATTACTATCGTCACGTATTTACTTGGATGTCTTACACTCATCTACATGCAACAGTCGCTCATTATCAAAATTTGGAAAACTGGTCTACTGACTTAACGCCTTAACGCAATGGAAATGGCAACACTCTATTATACCAACATTATTAAAAACGTTAAATGGATCTATAAAAATAAATTATGATCTGTTAACATACGCATAGATCTGTCAAATAAATATGTATTCTAACAATAATACAAAACAGAGGAACATTCATAACATTTAGGACGTAACATAACGTTCCAGTAATCCCATATTTAATATTAATATTTCAATTATCATCTCATATACCACTTTTATTCGCATGTCTTGAATACTAAATACTATACTGCTTTATAAATATAAAACTCTTCAGATGCCCAAACAACTTGAAATCAATGGAAAACAGGCAATTAACTTGTTTCTCAACTTGTGACTGAAATTAGCTGACTTTTTTTTTCAGACAGCCACAAAAGACGACCTGAGATGAGCTCCTGGCCGCCTTACTGTTGCTCTTGGTACGTCGTCAGAATATCCATGTCCATCACTTCTTGGCATGAATAGACAATTTCCTTTAAACAACCGGTACAACTGATCTTATTTCAAACAATGCTACGGCTAATCAGCTTAAAAAATGTTAATCATCAATATAAATATAAATAAAATAAATAAAATGTAAAGGACAAAAATAAAAACTTTGGAATAAACTTAAAAAAACAGAAGGCTCTAGAAACGTTGCCGCTGATGCGTATAATCAAACGTTTATCAAATGTCCCACGTGGCATTCGCAGCCTTCCCACCTTCCTTCCCACTCCAAGCAACTATTCCTACAGGAATCATTTCGAGTGCAAAGTGAAAGCGACAAAGACAACGCCGAGTCGGAAATTACAGAGAGGAAAAGAGAGCTGTAATTGAAAGAATGTTTCTCTGGAACCCATGTTTTGATGTGTCCAAAGCACCTTCACGATTGTCCTGGAACTTTAATTAAGAACTGATGTTAATTTCTTAGTAATCAAAATTTTATTTTATATTCTCGTTCCCAAATGCACGCATCTTCCAAAACCCAAAAAGAAAGAGTGGACAGGCAGGAGGGCAAAACTATATTTCTATTCAAGAAATTCTATAATGCATTAACGCTCTGAGAGAAATATATTCTTAAATTTATGTTCATGTACTGTTACGGCAATCAAATAAATAAGAGGATAAAATTTGATCATTTAACACAGCAGCAGTGGAATGTGGCCTCTCTCAACCGGAAGGAAGCCACAAGCGGAGAACAAACAACCGGTATATTGCTGTAAGACGTATAGTGGGATACAATGTGGGATGAATGTAAGACACACAGGTACAAGTGCAAGAACAATCCAGCACAGAAACATTACATTCAATCTTTTTGTTACACGAAACGAATCGAAAGGTTCAGACAATACGAGAATAAAAGGTGTCAGTGTAATTATGAAGTCACACTGAGAAACACTTAGTAAAGCCGACGTATGAAAAATTGCGCGCCACCCATGTCGACTTTCGTATCCCTGACAAAAGAGCATCAGTAACATGTCAACATCCTCGCGAACAAGTACGTCATGACAATAGCCGCATTCTGCGAGCAGACAAGATGGGAACATCCGTGACATTGAGTGGCAGAAGAATGATTGATTGAGTTGGTTACGTGAGGACAGAAATCCCTCCACAATATCGTTTCTTAACTTGTATCCAGTTCTGCCAACAGCGATATTTGGTTTTATGCACCCGCAAATTCTAGTTTGTACCCAAACTAAAGAATCTCTGGCTTTCTCAAAAAAGATATATATTTTGTCGGGACAGGATTAAACTGGCATCCGAAACCAGTTTTGTAGCTGTACAATCCTTCCACACATCTTAAGGAATTCAAACATGTAAAGTCTCACAACGCACTTTACTCTCCTCATAAAAACTTCTACCTTCTCTAAATGAATATTTAATATTCGTCTAAACCACAAAGACCCCAGTTAATCCGTCCCCAGGCAATCAACAATCAGATGTGTTAAGTTGTATCCAAAAGTATTTTATGCAAAACGTAAGCCTGTGTGTCTTTTATCACGTGCAGTGATTTTGCATTAATTGTGTAAATGTGTCGTGCAAACAATGAAGGAATGTACAGTGTGATACATTTACCGAAGTACGAAAACCATTCTCATCGGGACTCGAACCTAGGAATTTCTTGGCGTTATGGTAGTCGCTCCTGTAAAATCAAAAAAACTTTCGTCTTGGCACCGTTCTTCTATCGTGCTTAATTTTCAAGCTACAGAAAACGTCTCTATCGGGAATCGAACTCAAGGACAGGTTATCGAGGTTGTGGTTTGTGTTTCTGTAATCTCCTCGTCGATGCTAATAATTATGGTATTGACACCGTTCTACTGTCGTGGTTAGTTTTCGAGCTTCAGGGACACCCTGTGCCGAGAAATGAACTCAGGACATTTCTGGAGTTAATCCAGGCATAGATTCAGGGTTATGTTAAAATTAATATTTAAACAACAGGCTATGAGTGCATTTGCTGGATTCAAGCGGCTCAGGTTAGTAACTGGCAGCGAGCTCTTGTTAACACGCTAATCCGATTATAGAAAATCTGGGACTTCCTAAAGCACGTGAGCGATTGTCAACTTACAAAAGATTTGTTAAATCAGGAAGACTGCAAAATACGATGGTATAAATAACAATAATAGGCTACAAAACGGAAACGATTCATGTTTAGGTGGAGAGTAAAAGGCGAAATCAGTAACAACAATGGACAACGAAACGGAAATTTCAGTGACGCAAAACGTGAAACATTTTCTGCTTCCCATTGTTGTGTTTAGTTCAGTCGCAATTACGCAGTCGTAAAGATGAGTTCGTCTGTGGGAGGTTTGCAAATATTATCTTCTGTTTCTTTGATGGAGGCTGAAAAATGTTGCTGGAGAACAGTCTACTGTAAAAGAGTAAGTAGCCTTTGCCACATTAACCGTGCTCGTTCGCCTTTTTTTCCTGGCGTTAAATGAGTGGGTACTATCTCCCTTGTAGACCACCTGCAGTGTTTTGAAAGATATAACAGAATTATTATTTTAAATCGAAAGGTTCAGACAATACGAGAATAAAAGGTGTCAGTGTAATTATGAAGTCACACTGAGAAACACTTAGTAAAGCCGACGTATGAAAAATTGCGCGCCACCCATGTCGACTTTCTTATCCCTGACAAAAGAGCATCAGTAACATGTCAACATCCTCGCGAACAAGTACGTCATGACAATAGCCGCATTCTGCGAGCAGACAAGATGGGAACATCCGTGACATTGAGTGGCAGAAGAATGATTGATTGAGTTGGTTACGTGAGGACAGAAATCCCTCCACAATATCGTTTCTTAACTTGTATCCAGTTCTGCCAACAGCGATATTTGGTTTTATGCACCCGCAAATTCTAGTTTGTACCCAAACTAAAGAATCTCTGGCTTTCTCAAAAAAGATATATATTTTGTCGGGACAGGATTAAACTGGCATCCGAAACCAGTTTTGTAGCTGTACAATCCTTCCACACATCTTAAGGAATTCAAACATGTAAAGTCTCACAACGCACTTTACTCTCCTCATAAAAACTTCTACCTTCTCTAAATGAATATTTAATATTCGTCTAAACCACAAAGACCCCAGTTAATCCGTCCCCAGGCAATCAACAATCAGATGTGTTAAGTTGTATCCAAAAGTATTTTATGCAAAACGTAAGCCTGTGTGTCTTTTATCACGTGCAGTGATTTTGCATTAATTGTGTAAATGTGTCGTGCAAACAATGAAGGAATGTACAGTGTGATACATTTACCGAAGTACGAAAACCATTCTCATCGGGACTCGAACCTAGGAATTTCTTGGCGTTATGGTAGTCGCTCCTGTAAAATCAAAAAAACTTTCGTCTTGGCACCGTTCTTCTATCGTGCTTAATTTTCAAGCTACAGAAAACGTCTCTATCGGGAATCGAACTCAAGGACAGGTTATCGAGGTTGTGGTTTGTGTTTCTGTAATCTCCTCGTCGATGCTAATAATTATGGTATTGACACCGTTCTACTGTCGTGGTTAGTTTTCGAGCTTCAGGGACACCCTGTGCCGAGAAATGAACTCAGGACATTTCTGGAGTTAATCCAGGCATAGATTCAGGGTTATGTTAAAATTAATATTTAAACAACAGGCTATGAGTGCATTTGCTGGATTCAAGCGGCTCAGGTTAGTAACTGGCAGCGAGCTCTTGTTAACACGCTAATCCGATTATAGAAAATCTGGGACTTCCTAAAGCACGTGAGCGATTGTCAACTTACAAAAGATTTGTTAAATCAGGAAGACTGCAAAATACGATGGTATAAATAACAATAATAGGCTACAAAACGGAAACGATTCATGTTTAGGTGGAGAGTAAAAGGCGAAATCAGTAACAACAATGGACAACGAAACGGAAATTTCAGTGACGCAAAACGTGAAACATTTTCTGCTTCCCATTGTTGTGTTTAGTTCAGTCGCAATTACGCAGTCGTAAAGATGAGTTCGTCTGTGGGAGGTTTGCAAATATTATCTTCTGTTTCTTTGATGGAGGCTGAAAAATGTTGCTGGAGAACAGTCTACTGTAAAAGAGTAAGTAGCCTTTGCCACATTAACCGTGCTCGTTCGCCTTTTTTTCCTGGCGTTAAATGAGTGGGTACTATCTCCCTTGTAGACCACCTGCAGTGTTTTGAAAGATATAACAGAATTATTATTTTACACAGTACTAACAAACAATTGTCCATTAAACGCTACATAAAATATGCAGTTGACAAGACGATGTTAAACAAATCCAGAAGTAGAAACGATCTCGTTCATTATCACAGTGTCCTTTCACTTCACGTAGACTTAAAACATCTCTTAACGTAAATATGACCATCAGCAACGAGCAATTTCTGGTGAAAATTTCCCAACGTTATTTCAGCAAATCCTGTGTTGGCCATTGACATCCTTAACTGTGCACATACATCAGCAACTTTTATGGTCGTCCCAAGTAATTTCAATTATGACGCTCTTATAATTTATAATTACAAAGAGGAAAAGTTCAGCAAAAGCATTCCTTATTTTGCAAGTTCTGAAGATGGGACCAGTTCCTTAGTAATGGCTTGTAAACATCTTTTCATAACTTTAAGAACGGTTAGTAGAACGTGTCTTTTCACTGAGTACTGTAGCTTCTAGGCCAGTCCTTGTTACCTGTCGCAAAAGTGAAGTAATGCAGCAACAATTACTTTTTTACACGAATGAAACGTGAGTTCTTGCTTTGAGGAAGAACATAAATTATAAGTGTTTAAAAGCAAAGCGCTTAGGAAAATATTTGGGCATAAGAATGACGAAGCAAATTGCATAACTTTCTCCTTGGTGTCGCAGAAGATGCTGACTAAAAGACAAGCAAATGACAATATTGTTCATCTTGCATTTTAACAACTGCATCCGTATTTTATAACCTGTAAACAACTCTTAACGCAATTTA